CCTAAACAGCAAATACAGACATGAAAATGCGGAGAAATTTACCTGCAAGCGCACCACAGAATTAATACGATAATTGCCACGAGGACCACCGCGGCCAGGAACCCAAGGCCAGCAACCAGGGCTGGATAGTCAAGCAGGGAAAAGGCACTCACTAGGAAAGAGATGTTTATATGTTAATATTATCGTTGGCAATACCTCGGTGTTCGTTTACGTAAGAAATATAACATGCCTTTATAGAATTTGGTGACAAAGTCGACTCTGAGTGGGGAAAGCTCACAATAAGTCATTACAATTGGTTTTCCATGGAAATATACTGTAATGAAAACAGCATCAATTTTTTTGTCTGATGAAGGTGACCGTGTAGTTATTGAAACTGCACTCAAATCTACTGGTTTTGTTGAACTTCTACTGAATTGACATTTCCAACCCGATGAAAATATTCCTAAACAACAAAAGATGTTAAAAGAATTGCAGACAACTGATCTGGTGTTCTCAGGTAATAAATTGTGATCACTTGGCATTGAATGGTTGTCCAAAGCTCTTCAAAGTTTCAATCGAGTCATGCGATAAATATTTTGTCTTTACCCTATGTAGAACAATCACCTGTGTCACACCTGGTGCCCTCCTAGCAATTGTTGCCCCCCCCCACACACACACCCTCATACACACAGAATCTGTCACTTTGTATAACATTCACCTATATCACACCTGGTGCCCTTCCAGCGACTTTGTATATCACTTACCTGTGTCACATCTTGTGCCCTCCCAGCCACTGTTACACACATACACCTGTCACTTTGTATACCTCTTACCTGCGTCACACCTAGTGCCTTCCCAGCCACTGTTACACACACATACACCTGTCGTTTTGTCACAAAGAGATGTCTGACCAGCTGCACAATCACAAATCCCTACACAGTTTGTCCCAAAGGTGTTGCCTGAACATTCTGTAAAATGATAAAAGATCAATATTTTACATATCAAGATTGTTATTTATCCAGCAAATGCTTCAAATCTCAAGTAACTATTGACATCAAACTTGAAAAAAAAACATATCTTTTTGTGTTCCATTTAATGGTATTTGTATTGGGTAGAGTACTGAGAGAATTCTATCTAATAGACTCGTTTCAGGTTTAGAATTAGATTCAGTAGAGCCAAACAATGAAGAATCATTCAGCTGTTTCATCTTTTCAGAATTTGTCATTGAAGCTAGAGGCCTTAAGTACAAGGAGTCAACCGAAAAAATTCAAAAATTGTCAAAGAGGTTTCGGTAGCACATCCTTCTATTGTAATGAGGAATGTAGAGGTATATATGATACCAATTATAGTAAAAAATAGAAGGAAAAATTGAAATACTAACATCATCTTACTTATATTTTGCTTAATGCTAAAAATGCTCTCTTTCTAAAGACAGGGAAGTGTGCATGCTTGTTTTGTATTATTTATAATTGTCTCACCAGTATTACACGTGTCACCAACATAGCCTGGTTTACACGTACATACACCCGTCACGTGATTGCACGCTTGGTAAGCGTTTGACGGACAGGAACACGATTGTGAACACTGATAACCGTATTTCAAAGACTCACACACTGGAAATAAAGGACGAAAATTCTATCATTGATTTTTCTCTATGAAATATTATATCTTCTTTGTGTTAGGTATGGTAATCACATTTGAAATATTTTATTCCGCGCTCGCTAAATCAACAGAAGTACATTTATATTTTTAAAAAGTCGAATAATTGATTCCAAAAATGACTGGAGACTTTATTACATGCAAAAGGGAATGAAAATGAAAAATCTTACCTGTTGTACAAAGAGGCTGACTGTATCCCGCAGAACATGTACAATATCCAGTCACGTGATCACAGGAAATAGAATTGTTAGCATGACAGGCGCATTTAGATGCACATCCGGGTCCGTAAAAACCAGTATTACACGCTATAAAAGAAAGACATAGATACATTGAAGCAATATCACAACGCTACTTCTCAGAGACACAATGATGAGATTAACTTGATTGTTTACAAGGAGGAAGGATATATTTCTAGAACGTCAAAATGACCAGACGTAAGACTACCGATATCTCGAATGCTAAGCATGTAAATACTGTGTTCATTACTGTAATACTGAGTCAACACATCAATATGTACATTATAAATTGTGTAAAGATATTTACCCTGAGAGCAGTTTGTTCCATTATATCCAGGTTTACATGAACACGTCCCATTGTAGTGACACGTGTCGGTGTTATTTCTGTCGCACGAGCAATTTGTACATTCTTGCCCGTAAGTCCAAAGTGGGCAAGCTGCGTAGAGAAGTAAAACATTTGTTATGCATTTTTATGTTAGTCCGATAGCTTGTGATTGGTTAAAGTGATCCTTGATGCGATATTATAAATGTTACCAATATATGCTCCGTAATGCACCCCTTTTTAGTCACTACATAGTGTGTTTTTGTGATGTTAGAATAAAGAAAATTATTCCACATAATTTCAAATATTAATTGGAGATGAGAGAATTAAGTTTCGGACGTAAATTCATACAAAATGCTGAGTATGAGATGTTACATTCCAGTCTATAAAAATTGAAACTTTCAGCATCTGTTTCGGTGAACTGGATGACGTAATAAGTTCATCTTAGAAATGTCAAATAACATTACAGTAAAATCAATAATTTTCGTGGAAAATTTATTTCATTATGTTATCGGGTCCTATACTTCAATGAATCATAGTGCTAGTGGATTTTTGTATATTTTTGGAAAACCGCTAAATTTTAGACCCACGAAAATTTTATTTTCAGTAAGTGCATTAAAAAGCAATGAATAACTAAAACATCTAAAAAAGAAAAACGATGTTAATATCTTCACAAGATTGAGATACCGTACCTTCATATTTTGATAAAGATGCTAATGACGGTTCCATCAAATGTAATGACAATGTCTGTTTGGTTTTAGTCTGTTATATTTAAACAAGATAGAGAAAGACAGCTGGAGTAACTGACTATAGTATCCTTACGATTTTGTGGTAAGGGTAACGAATCTGAATTTAAACAAATGAATTTACTATAAATGTACTTACTCTCATTGCAAGTCGCTCCTGTATAATTTGTTGCACATGTGCATGTCCCATCCACATTGTTACACGTGAGAGTGTTATTAGGATCACACAGACAAGTTTGTCCACAGCTCGCGCCAAAGGTGTTATTAGAACAAGCTGCAAACCATTCAATATATATTTAACAACTTCATAAAACACACACAAGTGAACACCACCTTTCAATATCAATTATGAAATAGAAACAGAAGACAAAACGTAAAAATATAACTGCATCATGTAGCTTTTTTCTTCCATCCAGGACATTGATCCGCAAAAAACAGCAGAGAGAGAAATGGGTTGTTTTTTTTTTCAAAATGCACAATTACACCTGTTTCGTCCTTTTAGGACTTGGCAGACATGTCAGTAGCCTTAACTGTGAAAGCGTAAGAGGCGGCTGAGGGAAATCAGAATTGGTTGAAATAAATGTGTAATGAAATCGGATGTGAAGGTGAACTGAAACCTAAATTTCCATAATGAATCTTTTCAAAAATGGATGTCAGATTTGACTAAATTATGCTATTATCAAAATGATTTTAAACTTGGCATTCAGTGATTACAACATGTAAGCTCCAAGGATTGTACAGAAGAAAAGTCACCAAGCATACGTACCAGTTTCACAGTTAAGCCCAATATAACCAGGCTTACAGGTACAGGTACCATTAATGTTGTTACAGGACACAGCATTAGCCTGTACACATGTACAATCACTTCCACAACCAGCCCCGTATTTCCAGGCGCTACATGCTGAAAACGAAACATATCAAAAACTTAACTAAAACATGATGGTACCACAGTGATACAATTGACGATATATTTTTACAGTGGTCGTAATGATCTCACTGGAAAACGCTTACTCTTCTGGAACATTCATGAGTGTCCATGTTAATCCAAATTTCTATCATATTTACCATAGTTTTGATAATTTTGAGTTTCCGTGGTCATATTGTTATTTTCTTTATTTGCTTTTTGCATAATATAAAGCAATTGATATATTAGATACAGAATTAATGTATACCATATTCATTTAGTAGGACATAACTGTCAGAAACAACCTATCGCGCCTACGTTTATGTGGAATCCTTACATCGGAAGATCAATTGTTTATACAAAATTTCCCCAAGTGTACCTTTCAAAAACATAATTAAACACAGCTTAGCAATAGTATGAACTGAATTGCATCATATTCATAGAGCCAATCCGTTCGTCTAAGACAATGGTGATAAATGAAAATCACATTTGGCAGGGAACAAATAACACAATATAGAAGGTGAGATACAATTAGGCCCAGGATTGAATTAGGAAATAGTTAATGTTGTCATTATATTCTTCACAACAAGGATTAGATTCTTATTCTGCTGTATTTAGCCACAACACAATGCACTACGAAACTAACGAAATAATGGTCGTAATATAACTCCTTGTCGGGGCATTGTTGTAAAAGCATCACGTCTTACATATCCTTGGAAGTGCATCACATTGTTTATACAATTGAATTTCGCCGTCAAAATCGTCTAAATTGTGTACCTTGGGCTGGCGTCCTTTTCACAAAAACATAATTAGTGTGGCGACACACTGCTGTGTAACGGAAACGGATAGCAATAGTATCTCTTTGCATACCGTACCCCTCTAGTAATTATTGACAGCAATCTAACAGCACAGCGCTACATCAACGAGGTCTTATTTCCTGCTGTTGTTCCATTCTTTGCTGGACACCCAAACGTAGCGTTATTACAATAGGACAATGCACGACCACATACCGCTCGTATCACTACAGACTACCTTCAACATCAGAACAAACCCTTCCGGGCCTGATAAATGAAAAGGGCTCACCCCATTTGAAATCGCTCTTCAGGAAGAACAAAATAAAAATTCAATATAGAAGGTGGCCAGATATTGAACGTGGTAATTTTGATTTTGGCCATTAGTCACCGGAAATTGATGTAGTGCTGATTGCATTGAGTGAATTTTGTTAATGACATAATCAACTTTTAGGTATATTATTAAATATTGTATTCAAAACTATAACTGGTCAATTTTGACAGTAATTTAAAGGTGTTGCGTTTTCATTAACGCCGAGTATATTTTGAATGTATATCGAAATTGCCGGTCTTTGTTGATAACAAGTACACGTATGTTGAAACTAAATGTCTTCAGTAAGGCAGCAATAATTCGACGCATAAAAATACCTTATATTATCAATGTAAAGAAGAATGTTACTTACAACTTGCACAAGTAACGCCACTAAACCCGATATTACACTGACAAGTATACCCAGTAGATTGGCCGCAAGATTCCGTGTGGGTAGAATCACATAGATTACATATGGTATTTGGAGGTATCGTCGGATCACAATTTACTATGCAAACTATAAAACGCAAGAAAATCACGTGAGGATCAATAGGTTATTTAGATGTATTTAACCAATTGGCTACTCATTCAACTCTTAAGGAGTGGATATCTTCAAAACGTAAGATCTTCAAATTTTAAATCAATCAATCAATCAAGTATTTTCACAAAAGGATTTACAATTTGCTTTCGACGCACTAATTCTAATATTTTTGATTAACTAGCATTGCAATTGTTCAAATTGATAAAATCTTATATCATCACTGAAGAGATATGCATTTCACTCTTATAACAGAATATTTTGTGAATTATTGTATCATACCCGTGAAATACATATGATAATAGACTGGAAACTATTAAACATCCTCTATATACAAAGCTTCAGTAATAAGTAACAATGCAACGACACAGTGTATAAATTTTAAATCACAGATAACTATTCTAAATACATCTAATTATACATACCTATTCCACCATCTATTATTTGTGCGGGAGCTGAAACAATAATTTGTTAACTTTAGAATCAATATCACTTAGTACTACTACAGGATATATTATCCGAATAACTGCTAGTTCAGATAATATTTAAATCAGTTGATATTTTGCTAAGAAGTGTTTTTTCTCTTATTTCAAACAGAAAATAAAGTGCTGAAAGTCTGAGAATTTTAGAATTGATTTTGTTTCGTGATACTTCATTTTAATGAAGGGACAATGGAAGAAAACTATTCTATTGTCAACTCATATTTTTGTTTCTTGTAATTATAGAAATATCATATTAAAAGACAATGCATATTATTATTGTTATTAAAGTACTATACACTAAAGACTCATAACAAGCCAACCTCAAAAACATTTATTTCCTGGAATTAAGAATGTTCTTTCTTGCATAAATAAACATGCATTTGCCCACTCAACTGAATGTTCCAAATAGAGATACATTACCAATTCCAGTTAAGTTTGTCTGGGTAACTTCTCCTGAAAATAAATGAAAGTAGATAAAGATTTCGATGTAAAGACATTATCATTCTAGCAAATATGAACAAACTGTGTTTTATGAACCTTTGATCACAATAGATAAGTATATGCTATATAATTATAATTTTCATAATTGGACAAAGCAAACTAAATAACGTACGTTTTCCTAGATGTGTTATTCGTCGTTTTGAACATGTTCTCCCTCTCCATCTAGACTTACATCGGCAAGTTCCTGTCACGTGATCACAAAACAGCGAATTTTCCGGGATACAGTTACATTGTTGTTTACACGAATCACCGTAAGTCCAGTAAGAACATGCTACAAAAGATATAAGCAACATTGTAATGTATACGGTGTATTGCAAATCGATATATAACAACCTTCTGAATGGTTAATCAATGCATTGTTATATACTTTCAAAAAGCGACAACACATTGAGGGGTTGCAGAACATTAATTAACATATGTCTGAGTTGTTGTATTGAAGAGTGTATCGCCTTCAATCATTTATTGAAACAATTTGTAGTGTGAAGTAGTGAGGAGATCAAATTACTTGGCTGTTGTATCTAATAAAACCAATACTACTTATGATTCAGGCTTCTGTGGAGGGATTTCCACATTATTTTCATCGCTCTTCTAAATACTATTTTCTCTAGGTCATATTAAAAGGTTGTCATTTCTGCTTTAATGTGACGCCATTTATCTGTTGACGTCATAACTGATACTGATCCTAAAAACTAAAGGCAAGTCGGATTCACAATTATTATAATAATAACATATACAAAGAAATCCACTTACTGTATCGAGTCATTGCTGAGTACTGAGAGTAAAATGTTTGGAAAAGTGTAAAGAAGTATAAATTCAATTTCATTATTTAGTAACACGAACTTCTATGGTATTGTACATTTGTAACATATTTGCACATATATCGGATAACACATATTTACCTTCACATTTCCTTTCCTCTGCTAGCCATCGATATCCGGACGTACATTTGTATTCTTCCGCAACAGAATAATTGATGCCAGGACTTAAGTGAACACAAGATCAACAATCTTAGCTGGCTTATGATCGAATTATTGAACAGAACAGAATGAAAGTTGGCTGACTAATGAAAATGAATACACCTCAGTGCGAACGGGTGTTCTATTTACACAAACATGTTTTTTAACTATCATGTACTGAAGTTTACATATAGATGTTTGATCATACATTTCCTTGCGGCTGTTCTAGCCAATTTTATATTACACTGATAAACGCACATTTTCTTCCAGTATACCTCTGTGACTTAAATACACTGCAGACAAAACATAATCTCTAATAGTACACGCATGTATGTTTGTTCAGACAAGATTTGTGTCTCTAAACATCTAGAAATGTGATAAACAATTATATAATCAACTTATATAGAAATATCTAATTATATGTCTCTATTGTTAAACTAAAGCACAAAAACCACCGATTCATACCAATAACTGCTTCAATCTTCAATCAGTTTACAATACCTTTCTTCCTGTGTCTGTATCTCGTGACACTGAAATCCCGTTAGCAACAATAATAGTATCCAAACATCACGTAAAACAATGATAGTGGTTCCTTTTGACATTTTTGTCTCTAACAAAACGATATAAAACATTAATGTATATATGTTTTGCACATGTTGAAGTCTGTGTCGGCTATTTCCTTTCACATTGTGAGAACGCCTACTATCTATATCCTGGTTTCTAGATACATTACCATGTTTGTTCTGTTAAAGATGTCTCTGATTCTCCTCCCTGTTATCTGATATAAGCACATGGGTTTTTTCAAAGGGAATCAGTTTCCAGAGAAGACTCTGACACGGGAAGGAGAACTTCACAAATAGCCACGATCTAGTCACGATCATTGACAAAATATTCTTGATAGATTGCTTTCACGAGAGGACTTAAGTATATATATTTCATTATTTACCAATATATAATAAAAAAAACTCATCTTTCTTGAAAATATTTTAAATATTTTTAATATCGATCAATTGTAATTCAGATATCGATGTCCTAGTATTACTTGATACATTGTGGTACTGAAGTTGTCTGAGTTGTGGTTCATGTAGGCTGGTCATTTCCCTGGGTTTAACTGCGGCTCTAGGATCACAACGATGTCTCTGTAAAATGGAACTAGGGTAACTGCATTAAAAACATGAATAACATTCAGAGTGTGAATGGTATGACGTCAGATTTCATGATATAGGAGTGTTCCGCTTGACGAATCTCGTGATCAACGATGAAAAAGTATCTTGCATTTAAACCAAATAACAATAGACATAAGAAATGAACATGAATAGTAACAAAAGGGTTTATGCTGAAATATATAACTTCAAAGTCTCTTCATATGACTACTAGCATTAATATCATATACATTTTTGATACATGCTATCAGATGTCTCATCCTAATCATGTTTCATTGCTGGTGAAGAAGGTTTTACCTTCTACGTTTAGAAAAAAGTGTCAATTGATCAGTTTTGTTTTCAATTTTGTCAGGTGTAAAGTCAAAAGCTGATTACAAAATTCCGAATGACGTGTGTGACTGTGTTATGGTATTTGTGTTGCCAGTCAATACCGTCATCAAACCGTTCTTGTATACAGTTTCAGCAGTTAGAGGAAGCGACAAAGAGCACGTTGAATACCATCATTGTGTGTTATAGCCGGAGAGACTGCTGCCTGTTTCTTACTGTCAATATCAAACTACTAAAATTAAATAAGTTATAGTTATATTTTTTCTCAGTAAACCAATGGAATAATAACCCAGGATATTGGTGGTAACCTTCACAAGATCTTATGTAAGGAAGTCTCAAAATTTGGTCAATTACGAAGCATGTACAATTTAAGAATGTCTCGTCAGGTACTTCTTCATATATATCAATAATATATATCAGGAAAAAACTAACCTGTAGTTTATGTATTTTTGTTTTGTTTTCTGTTTACCTTTTGAGGAGATTGCAGCAAATCTAATAGTAAAGCATGAAGCAACTAATGATGATGGGGTACCAACAAAGAAGATGTTGTCGCTGATTGCGAAACTAAACAATCAATTTCGAGTAAGTTGAAAAGGCATATTTTTTGCACGGAAGAAAATGTATCAATATACTTACCTGAAATACAAAAGTATGAATTATTAGAAGATTGACATCATATAACAAAGCATTTTAACATGTATCCTTTTTATGCGTCATTTGTATGTAGTTGTCATTATTCTTAACTGCCTCTCGAATAATTGTCGAAACAAATTTGGTACAAAATCAAATGGAAAAAATCA